GTTCGATTTCATTTTATTTTGACAATGTTAAATTAATAATTAAGATATTTGAATGTAAAATCGATAGAAGAAGATTTTGGTTTTGAAAAGTAATTGCGTTTGGAAATGCCGGGGAGTGGTGCTGCTGGTAGTGGTTGGGGGGGGGGGCAGGGAAGAAGGAGGTTAGTATAGGGAAACGAAAATTTTGATTGAATTTTCGTAAATTGCCAAATTGAATTATCGATAGGATGACAATAGAGAAGAGGATCTTGTAAAGCACGAAAGTAATAAGTTGTTCTACGTGATTATTGTTCGGTAGTAAAGTTGTAGTTTAGTCGGGAAATACTACTATAACTATACTAGGACGATCGATCACGTCGTTTAAGGTTTCTAGACGATTGTTACGAAGTATTTCGAAATTCTTTGTTGCGTGAACGAAGAAAATAAAAAGGGAAACGATAGAATTATTTTATCGATATATCTTTTTTTCTCCAATTTTTTTGTTCTTGTGTTTCCATATTTTTTATTCTTTTTTTTTCTCCTTCCTTTTTTTCTCTTCCTCAATCGCGTACAAAATTTTCTCACTTTCGAACGAAATATCGAGATATTTCAAGAAATATACATACATACATACATACATACATACATACATACATATATATATATATATATATATTTTGTTCAAACGTGTATGTAGATGAGGGTGCATACGTGTGTGCAGTTCTCGTAGAAAAATACGAATAAAAATTTCTGTCAAATTTGTCAACAAAGGAAAAATCAAATATCCTATTCCCTTGCGGCCGGCAAAAGGATAAAAATGGAGAATTGAAATTTTTATTTCTAAAACTGACCAGCTGGAGAGAAAGAGAGAGAGAGAGAGAGAGAGAGAGAGAGAGAGATGGTAAAGTGAGAGGAAGTGAGCAATAGGAAATTGTTTTACTAGCCGTGTATGTCCTGCAACGCGTGCAATGTGTAGTACGATATAACGCTTGCTTTCCTCTATTTAGGAATTCCATTCAACGAACGTGAGTCGATAAATCGGTGAACAAGCAAGCTCGCCAGCTCGAAATACTATTGTTATAGCAAAGTTACATTAACCGTGTGATCGTTTGAGGTAACATTAATCGTACCGTGTAAAATCACCGTTCTCGCCGATTCGTTTAACATCACACAAGAATTGGGATTGGGTATTCGACGAGTGAACGCGGAGAAACGAGGAAGAGGAGATGGAGGAGAAAGAGGTAATCGTAAACGTTACCTCGCGCGAATTAAATAATCGTTCGATAATTGTAAAATGAGATTCGTCAATTTTACACATTCCCTTTCGTTCGTTAGTTAATTTTCAATTATTCGAAATAAATCTTTATACTAATTTGTACAACTTTTTCCAAATATATCGATATAATTTTCTTTTTTCTTCTGTACTTTATTTTTTTCTTTTTTTTTTTTTTTTTTGTAGACCGCGGTTACAAGTACGCAAATTTATTTATTCGTTAATGATCTCCAATCGCAGTTTCGAAATTTCGAGAATTGAGAGGCGAATATCATTTAAGATCTTTCGATGTTGTTAACAATATTCTTCTTTTTTTCTTTTTTTTTCTTTTTTTTTTTTTACAGAAAGTTGCGCCAAATTTTGTACAAGCGAATATGTATCTCGTTGAAAAATTTTATTTTTGCGATCTTCGTAAAATCCTTCTTTTCGTTTTAGTTCAGATACGAGTTAATTTCTTTTCTCGATCAAAGCGCACTTTTTTGAATTGGAAAAATTGAAAGACAATTTTCGAGAATGACATTTTAGGGAAAGAAGAAAAAAAGAAAAAGGGAAGTTCGTGCGCGCGATAGAATGCGTATCTTGTTCGTTTATAAAAAAAAAAAAAAAAAGAAAAAAAAAATCTATTCCATATATTCATTGAAAATTTTTCTTAATATTAGATGTAAAACTTAATTTGTTGATTGCATTACAATTTTATACTTGAAAATTTCTACCTAAGTTCGAAGATCAAAAAGGTCGCGTTGAAGGGTGCCTTGGTAAATGTCAATGGTCTCTGGCGGAAATTAAAAAGATCTTAGAAAGGAAAAAAAAAAAGCAAAGAGAATAGAAAAGGGAAAAAAGGGAAAAGAAAAGAGGAAAAAAGAAGAAACAAAAAAAGAAAAGAAAGAAGAAACCAAGGGGATGAAAAAATGAAAAGAGAGTGAAAGGATATAAAGATAGAGAGAGAGAGAGGCAGAGAGAGAAAGTGAGAAGGATAAGAAGAGTAGGGTGAATGCATTTTTGAAGCATCCTATCTATCTCGCGTGATCAAAAAGGATTTTTTGGTGATCGTTAAGATACGTGCATTTTCTTCTTCATCTTCGAAGAAAAAATAAAAGGATTACTCTTGTTTTCTTCACATATTTTTTTTGTTTTGTTTCCCGAACGTCAACTTTTATCCCTGATACGTTATGGTATTTTAATGAAAAACCTTAGGCCCTTTCTTTCTCCCTCCCCCCTCTCTCTCTCTCTCTCTCTCTCTCTCTCTCTCTCTCTCTCTCTCTCTCTCTCTCTCTCTCTCTCTCATACACACATTCTCTCTTTTACTTTTTTTTACTCTTTCCCTTTCTTTTTCTCTCTTTCATCCTTTTTTCTTCTCTTTCTTTCTTTCTTTCTTTCTTCCTTCCTTCCTTTTCTTTTACCCGATCATACTTCTTCATGTGAGCGTGAAAATAGGTGGTAGAACGAATATCCGGATTAAGATGGCTAACGGGGATTTCACGATTTCGAGATTTTTTTTTTTTTTTTTTTTCTTTTTGTCGAGCTAGAGGTAAAATGGTAGAATGTGGAACGGAAAGAGAAAAGAGGGTGGAAAAGGATGAAAGAAAGGAAGAGAAAGAAAGAGAGAAAGAGAAATGTGAACAAAGTGGATGTCGTAGATCGTCATGTGACAAAGAGAGAAAAAGAAAACGAAAGAGAGAAAGAGAGAAAGAGAAAGAGAGAGAGAGAGAGAGAGAGAGAGAGAGCAATCAAGAAGAACGAATTGACAAATTCCGTATCGATCCTGGACGTCGTCCAAGAGGCCACGATTTTTATCGAAGTTATCGAATCGTTTAAGAGGATGGGAGTAGAGACGATCGATGTTCGCGAACCAATTTCCGTAGCCGCACGAACTACTCTTAATAACTACTTACGAATTTTTTTTCGTTTCTTTTTTTTTTTTCTTTTTTTTCTTTTCTTTTTTTCTTCCTTTTCATCAAACAAATCGAAACGATTCCGAACGAATCCTTTATCGATTCCTACTTATATTATAACGCTATATATTTATAGTAACATTTATATACTATTGACGTATGTATGTACTTAACTATCGTACCGTTGTATTATATTATAAACAATGCATTGTATCTTAAGTAATCGCATTTTACGATTAATATGATTGTTATATAATTAAAAAAAAAAAAAAAAAAAAAAAAAAAAGAAGAAAAAAAGGGGGGGGGGAAATGAAAGAACATTGATGTCAAAAGAAATTGACATTTGAATTGACATTTAAATTAAAAATATCATTTTAATAACTAATTTTAGGAATGGGTATTAAAGACGTTTGAAAGATAAGAAGTAAATGAAACAAAACAAAACAAAAAAAAAACAAAGGAAAGACGCGAACAGAGCAAGAAAAAACAGAAAAAAAAAAGAAGAATGAAAAAGAAACAAAGAGCAAGGAAAAGACATAAAGCATAAATTATATACTAAATAATAATAAGTAAAGAAAATTTAACGATTGAAATATAATAATTAACTTAACATTAAAATTGATGTTCCTATGCGAGTGCATGCATAATATATTAACTATACCTACTTACATAGATCATAAATTGCATTTAATTATCCCGTCAAACAAACCTTATATATATATATATATTTATATTCTATAGGAAATATATATATATATATATTCCCCATAGAATAATAGTGCTAGAACGATCGTAAACATATCCAAGTTGGTTCGGTACCAAACAAACTGGTAGTTAATAAAATCCAATGACGAGAACAGGAAGAGCATTTATGCCTTTATTTAGCGTCGTTCAGTTGGTACCTTCGTAAGGGTGAATCGTAAGGGCGTATTGCGTCGTGTCGCTTTGCGTCCTACGGTGAAGCTATTAATAAGAAGAGACCTTAATAATTTCGATGAAAGCCAAGTGCATCCAACTATTATCTACGAAGCGCAACTAACCTACCTTCGAAGTATACGCTCAAACGGAAGCCAACGACAACGAGACCAAAATACGTCAACCATCCCTTCCTTCTTCTTCCCTACGTTCTCTATTTCCCACTACCACCCACATCATCCCCACCCAACAATCCCCATCCAGCTCTTCTACCCCCGCGTACACGTCGGAGTGCATCTGACAGAAAACCTATAGACGGGTAGTACGGCCATTAATGAAATGACAAATGCGTTCCCGTCGACGAACGACGAGGACGAAACGCAAAGCGGAGTCTTTCCTGCGGAAAATAAAATATTTAACATCGTGATTTACGAGGCCTTTCTCTGCCTCTCTCTCTCTCTCTCTCTCTCGCTCTCGCTTTCTCTCTCTCTCTCTCTCTCTCGCTCTCGCTCTCTCTTTTTTCCATTCGAATTTTTCTTTATAAATCGAGCCTTCGATAAAATTTCAAATATTATTTTACTTTATCAATCGAACGTTATTCTATAGAAAAAAAAAAAAAAAAAAATATATAAAATAGAAATGAAAAAGACATTATGTTACAATAAATGGTAACTTTTAGTAAGATAATTACTAGAATTAAATGGAAAAAAAAAAAAAAAAAAATAGGTAAAAAAAGGAAAAGAGATCTCTTAAAAATCATTGAAAAATAAATATCTTTATCGTCCTTTGTCAATCTTTTTGTTTCCTCGATTTTTCTTTTCTCCTTCTTTCCACTCTCTCTTCTATATATATATATGTATATATATATATATATATATATATATATATCCAATTCAAAAAAAAAAAAATAATTAATGATTTCCTTTCGTTATTATCCACAGGCGAATTACCAGCGGCCGTGCACGATGGAAACGGTGTATCGCGTGCTGTCCTCAATCTCTGGCTGATTCATTTGACAGTGAGCTACGTTTTCTTCAGATGACAATACTAAGGTAAAAATTATAATATAAGATTAATAAAATAATATCTATAATAATAAATCGTCATAACGTTTGCCTATATATTTCTCAATTATTTATATCACTCGAAGATATATGTACATATATATATATATATATATAATAAATTATTAAATGCACAAAAATAAAAGAGAGAGAGAGAGAGAGAGAGAGAGAGATAAAGAAAAGAAAAGAGATAGCAAGTTCGATTGAAGCATTAATTCGTTTATCTCACTTGAAGATGTACACGCATACGAATAATAAAATGAATAAAAGCGAGATAGATATAGAATGATAGAGAGGGAAAGAGAGAGAGAGAGAGAGAGAGAGAGAGAAAGATAAAGAAAAGAAAAGAGATAGCAAGTTCGATTGAAGCATTAATTCGGTTATCTCACTTGAAGATGTACACGCATACGAATAATAAAATGAATAAAAGCGAGATAGATATAGAATGATAGAGAGGGAAAGAAAGAGAGAGAGAGAGAGAGAGAGAGATAGGAATTTCGATAGAAACGTTAATTCCTTGGAAGGACAAACAAGCTTCCAATTATCTCGCTTGGACTACGTTTCTCTTGAGCAAGAAAGATCCTTGCAGACGGTTAAGCGTCACGCTCGATAATCCATCGTCGTTTCCCATCGAAATTCACGAACGAACGAACGAACGAACGAGCGAATGAACGTACGAATGAACGTACGAATGAACGAGTTACTAATTACTCTTATAACCAAGAACCATCACTTCCGCGTTTTCTGTTAAAGCAAAAACCACATTTGATCTTGGAAAATGTACCTTTGATAAATGTGTAGGAATAAAAGAAAAAAGATAAAAAGAGAAGAAGATAGAGAGGAGAGAGAGAGAGAGAGAGAGAGAGAGAGAGAGACAGAGAGACAGAGAGAGAGAGAGAGAGAGATAATGAGATGTAAATAGATTCTATCAAATCTCTTTCCTTTCATAGATATTCATTTATTCGAACCAGAATAATTAGTCGTGTAATTTTTACGGATAATTTATACGGCTTAAAAAAAAATCTCTTTCTCTCTCTCTTTCTCTCTCTCTCTCTTTCTCTCTCTCTCTCTCAAGCGATATAAATTCAAACTTCACCAAAAGGCCACAACATTCTTAACAAACATAATTTTCTTGTTTTCTCTTCTTTTTTTTTCTTTTCTTTTTTATTTGTTTTTCTTTTCTTTTTTCCTTCTTCTTCTTCTTCTTTTAACACGTAATCATAATACGTCGTTATCATTCGATTTAATCGTGAATAAGTATTGCCAGAGTTTTAAATAAAAAAGGCTATTTACTTTAATACGAAATAATAATAATTTTCGATTAGAAAAAAAAAAAAAAGAAATACTATGTAAGATTGTATTTATTTGGATATGAGGTTTTAAAAACATTTTCAAATAAAAAGATACTACAGTGTTATTTATTTATTTATTTATTTATTTATTTATTTATCTATTTATTTACGTATAAGATACGAAATATTTTTTATGTTGTATTTTGTTTTTTTCTTTTTTCCCCTAATAAAAAATGCGACAGTATATTTGTTTATTTATTTAAATGCAAAATGGCTGAGCATTTTCAATTAAAAAAAAAAATATATATATATATATATATATATTTATTTGTAAAAAAAGAAAACGAAAATGAAAATACTAATATTATTTATTTGACACGTAAACTTAAAAATTTCGACATTACTTTACCGATCAATATCTACTACCTAGTTACTGCTATTAGTCATACGTTTTTTTCTTCTTCCTTCATCAGATAAATTGCATCGAATATTATTTCTTTTTCCAATTCCTTTTACAGATAAATTCATTAATACAAATTGAGAAATGATCAGAGCCGTGCACAATTTTTTTTTTTTACTCTCGCGAGCAAAAAAAGATGAGAAAAAAAGAAAAGAAAAGAAATAGAAAAGTGAACTCCGTCTAAGGGAAACATTGTTAGTACTGTTTTTTATTTTTTACTTTTTCATTTCTTTCTTCTTTTTTTTTTTTTTTTTTTTTTTTTTTCTTTTCAAACACAAAGTCTTCGTTCTTATTACTTCCTAATTATTAGTTATCTTCTCTTAGTTTTCTTTCTCCTTCTTCCACATTCTTCTTCAACCTTCCTCCCTCTTTTCCTTCCTTCCTTCCTTCCTTCCTTCCTTCCTTACTTTCGTCTTTTTTCTTCGTTTTTTTCTTTTTTTTTTTTTTCTTTTTTCATCGTAAGATATTTAATCCGAGTTTCGAATGAGTTTCTCAGATGCCAACCGCACAAAAAACGCCATCGACTGCTCCTAAAGTTGCCGAGAGAAATTTTCTGAATCAACGCGAGAGACGATCGTACTTGTTCTTAGTTATCTCGAAGATTCTGTCCTTGACTAAACCGATCGAATAACGAATTAAGCAGAGAGAGAGAAAGAGAGAGAGAGAGAGAGAGAGAGAGAGAGATGCGCTCTTCTTTTTCGTTGCCATCCATCTCGAATATCTCGATTTTGTTCTTTTTATCAGGACTATTTCGAAGGACCAATTACTTATATCATATATTTCTTCTTCTTCTTCTTCTTCTTCTTTCCTTCTCTTTTCTTTTTCTCTCTCTCTTTTTTTTTCTCTCTTTCTTTCTTTTATCTCATCCCATAAGTTAATTATAAAGTTTCTCGTCTAATTAAAATTTCGTTCGATTAAAATTTCCTTTATTAAAATTTGATAGACCAATTAGCGTAACGCTCGAACAACTTTTGTGTCCCAACGTTCTTCGTACGAAAGAAGAATATAATTAATCGCCTTTTTCTTTTATTTATTTATTTTTTATTTTTTATCTTTTGTTTTGTCCTTCTTCTTCTTCTTCTTCTTCTTCATGCTATACTTTTTCACGAACATGTTCTCTCTCAAAATTAAAATCGATAAAGATTAATGATATTTTTCTCATTCGTACTCATTCGACTTTCTCCGTACGTATATATTCACGTAAGTGTAATAAAATGAAATGAAATGAAATAAAAAATAATAATAAAGTAATCTTAATATTTTCAACACGTATACGTAAAAAAAAAAAAAAAAGAAAAAAAAAAAAGGAAAATACAATGAAGTTTTTTGCATTACAAATTCATAGAAAAGACTTCAATTAATTACAAGATCTCATATTCGTGGCTAAGTTGTTTTGAAAATTAAACGAAATCTTTCCTTATTTTTTGTTTTTTGTTCTGTTTTCTTTTTTTTTTTTTTTGAAGAGAGGCAAGTTCCGTTTCTCCATAAAATTCTTCCCTGACGAAAAAGAGAGCAAAGGAAGAAAAAGAAAAAAAAAAAAAGAAAAAAAGAAAAAATATATATATATATATATATATATATATATACATATACACACGTGTATGTATATTTCGTTCTTTCATTTTGCACGAAGGCTTTGTTATTTAATTAAAAATTAATTATATTACGGAAACTGCGGTAACGTGTTGCCGCACGCATGCTACTACTAAAACGAAAACGTTCGGTATGCGTGAGAAAACTTTTTTCCAAAGTTTTTTTCATTTCCTCTCACTTCCCTCCCACATCCCCTCCTATTCCCATCCTTTCCCCATTATCGTTCTTCCATTTTTATTTATTCTCCTAAGAGTTTCTCGTTAGTTACATATGCTATAAATAAATAGGAAAACGAAATCTGTAATATAACCGAACGAATCACAGTACGAAAATTCTACAACGAAATGAATATATATATATATATACACACTCATACATATATATATATATATATATATATATATATATATATACATACTCTAGCGGATCGTACGTAAAACGTTACTGTGTGTACACTCGAAAACGAATCGTAAACATAAAAATTCACAGGAAAGGAAACATCGAGTTAGAAAAAAAAAATAGATACACATACGTATAGAGATGGGAGCGAGAGAGAGAGAGAGAGAGAGAGAGAGAGAGCGAGAGAGAGAGAGAGGATAACGCCGATATGCGAGCTACTTCAGCTACGTGAAAAACCGATTTGTTTGGTAAATAAGTATGTATGTAGGTATCGTATACGTATATATCGATCGATGATGATCGAATGTTTAAAAACATATACATTTAATCTTATCGCTTGTCCTATTGTTTCGATACGTTCTATACGAAAGACATTTACCGACCTTGGCAATGAAAGTTTAGAAAGAAATAAATGAAAATATAAACTAATCGATATTCATTAGTTCAGTCGTGTCGTTCAGTCGGCAATGAGCATTCATCGGAGACACATATCTAATATAATTTTGTAACGTAGACTTTTGACACGTTTCTCATCGTTTTCTCTTTACATTTTCTATCTATCTATTTATCAATCAATCAATCTACTTATCTATCTATCTATCTATCTATCTATCTATCTATCTATCTATCTATCTATGTATCTCTTTTGTGTGATATTGTAACGACACGATACCTGAAATAACAGCACGAAACGCGGAAACTATAGTTTATACGTTATTGTCGTACCAACCGTAGCAGAGCCAATGGTGTGACCAACCAGACCGTTATCTCAGCTCTCAGCTTTCATTATCGAACGGCATAGATCATAGCTCCTCTCTGTAGTATGTGTGTGTGTATATGTGAAAGTGTATGTCTGTGAAAGTGTGTGTATGTGTGAACCAATGCGTGACGTTACACATCCGTTCATACCTCATCGTTGAGAAGAACAACGTCGTCATAATTGTACGAAGTCGTATAATGCGACTACGTAGATCTTTCTCTTTTTCTTTTTCTTTTTCTTTTTCTTTTTCTTTTCCTCTTTTTTTTTCTTTTCTTTTTTTTTCTGCTTTATTTTTCTTTTCTTTCTCCAACGAAACTACGAGGAAGATGATAAAAGAAGGAATAGCACAACGTTTCACGATTAATTTATATTAATATCTCGATTATTAAACTTGTGATATATATATATATATGTGTGTGTGTGTGTGTGTATTATTTTATGTTAGAAAAATTCAATTTAAATCAACAAATTATTAATAGTATAC